TTATGACTATATTATGATACAATAAATGAGATAAATATGGGAGAGATATGATTTAAAAATGAGCCATATATGGCACATAAATGAGTCATTCATGGCTCATTTTTTATCTCATTTTTCACGGCCTGGGTTCTCTATTGATTGCTTTATCGATGAAACACGTGTCGAATAGATACAGAGACTATTGTTTTTAAAACCCTAGACTACAGTCAAGAGTTTGCTCAATTTATTTTTTTCCACAATGTGTTTATCTGTTTTTTATTTGATTTAACATAAACGTTTCATCCTGTTCTACTGTAGTTGAGTCATTTTTAGTTTATTAGCTGTTTTATTTATAATCTGTTGCTTGCTTATTTAATTTTGTAACACGTTAAAATAAAGTGTTTTTTGTGGTAGCCTACTTTTATAAGACATCCCGGCTTATTAAATGCATCCTCAATGTCTTAAGAACACCAGGATGTCTTACTATATGGATCAAAAATGCGCTTGATTTACACGAGAAAAGATATCCAAAATGCCTGGGTTCAACATCCGCGATGTCTCACAAAGATACTACGCGTGCATAAAACTGGAATCCAACCGCCTTCGTAAAGCATTGTAGCGCGTCTTTTACATGGAAATTTCATCTTACTGACGAAAAATGAAGTTATCTTTAACGTGTCTAAAGTCCATTTTTGTTTCGAAAATGCACCTCTTTTTTGACAGTGTTTTCATCATTCCCACAGGAATTTTATCGATCGAAGAGGCATTTTACCTAGCATCACGAGCATTTTGCTCTGTTACACGAGAATATTGCTATCAGCAGTGGATACGGCTTATATCTGAACGAGAATTTTACTCCTCCTCCAAAAGAACATTGTTATCTTGGCAGCATCCACCTAAATAAAAGGTTTAGAATAGCTGCTAATGAAGTATTTAAACGACCTGCAGAAAAATACTTTAACGTTATATGTTATGAACATGTTTTGGTAGGTAAAACAGAAAATAAAAATATAAAGAATGGTGATGCTGAGAAAGAAAAGAACCCAAGAGAAAAAGAAAAATGTGTAGATGTGGCTGTTGGTGTGGAAATAGCTGAAGTCGTCAATGAAAGTGACCTTGAAAAACAAAGAATAAAAAATCCTTTCAGTAGACGATAACAATAATATTATTCATTTTTCGCGTTCTGTCATTACGTGGAACGTTGGCGATCCGCTTATATTAATCTGTGTGGTAGCGTTATTTCTCGGTTTCTATAGAAATACAAAATACAGGAATTTTTCTTTTTTTTCTTCAAATAAACATTATTTTATGAAGAAAAAAATCTAAAGCAAAACGTAAGAAACCTACTCTCCTACTCGAAAAAAGTCTTTTCAATGGAGGAAACAGAAAACAAAACCTTCTCAGAAACTGTCACAACTTTTTGTTCTGTCTCAAAACAGCCTATAAAAGCGATCGTTTTAAAAAGTAAAGTTTCTCTTGAAACAAACGCATTACTACACAAATTATGGAAAAAGCATTTTTCCGTTACTTTCTTCTCATACAGAAGAAAATCATAACACAATTTAAGTATCGAAACACTTTAGTTATTTGGCGGATTCTGGAACGCCTTTATTTGTGAGACTCCCGGAGGTTATAGAGCAGTGTGACTTTAAATGGAGAAAAATTAGGATATTGCTCCTTTCTCGTATATAAATCGATGATTTGCTAACCTTAAGTGCTGAAACATGTCTGCCGAGTTTCTGTAGCTTGTTTGCATGAATTGACATGAATTCGAGCACATGAACTTAGCTTTGCTGTAAACTGGTGCCACATCGAGCACGGCTACTAGCCACCAACGACGAGTAGAAACTTTTGGGAGACAAACATCAGAGAACGTTTGAGAAACAAACATCATAATATTCATTTCTCTCTATAATCTATCTGAGCTGCGTTATAGAGGTTTTAAAAAAGTTCCCTTTTTTAAAAATTAAAACTAGTTTTAAAAATCGGGAGTTTGAGTTAGAGATTTAATTTTTTTTAATCCATCTTTCAACCCTGAATTCGAATATCATATTCCAAAAAGTTTTCTGTCGCTGGGTCTTTATAAAAACTCATTTTATTCAAAACCTACAGCTCAAAAACCCTGGTTTTCTAGAAACCTACCTCTGAAGGTTTCGAAAGAAATTTTCGCTTACTAAAAGAAAGGGCATGACTTGGAATCCTCAGGCCCCAAGTTTCGTATCCGTCCGGCTAGCCATTTTGGAGATAGTTTTCTCATGCTACACGCCTGTTGAGCAGAGGTATTAGAATCATTGCACTAACTGGAAGCAACAAAGAGGATAAAAAAGCTGAATACCAGAACAAAAATAGTGCGGACGTCGCATGTTATATAGCACTCCTGAAGGTCCTTTTGAAAGAGTGTTTAGTTCAGAGGTCTTCGAAAACCTAACATGCAACGACCATCACACATCATCTTCGTGAATGCTTTCTTGTATTATCCAATTTCGCATTGTAGAAAGTAAAGTTCCATTCGTTTAGTGATTAGATTAACAGTGAGAAGAGTTTTTCGGCCTTTCGCAGCAACAAAGAAAAACTGCCGAACGGAAAAAGAGGGGCCTATCGAAAGATTATGTAGTTGCCAGAGGACATTCTAAAAGATTACCTAACGGAGAGGAGATTCAAAGGAAGCATGTAACTCATGAATGAACCCTCGCCTGCATATCTTTACTCAGTTTGTAACAAAGGTCGTAAAACTGAATGTTTGTTAGATCCGACCGCAGTTAGAACTGTTGCCTTCACTATAGACAAAGTAGTACATTTTAATTTTCTGACGTCAACGCTCTCCTATCGATTCGATGAACCAATTTCTCGCACAAAAGAATTAAATTTAAAATGCGCTAAATCCACAGGTGATACATCATATGTTGACCTATTTGTAGATCAATATATGACCAAACATCTGTCACTTTCTCCAAGAAACAATAAGGAATACATACTTTTCAATCCTTTATTATCGTCAATAGCTCCAAATATTTGTTCATTATCTATTCGTCTCGAACAGCTTACGTCTCTAATTGACAAGATGGAACAACTGACGGTTCAACGATTGTTACAGCATATTCACACTTTAAAAATATTTATTCATTCTCGATTGATGAATATCGATATTGGAAATGTATCTATGGCATTTTCAATTGTTAAACATTTAACATTACAAACGGATAAAGAAGAAGTAACATTTTATTCTGAACTACTGGTCATTAAGGATATTATTCAATATTTTCCACATTTGATCACAGTTAAAATGCGTTGGCACAGTAAGATGATACCGGTGTATATAAAATTATGGCTGTCCTATTGCATGCGGGAACGTAACACACAAAAATATCACTCTGAATATGACACAAAATATCTCGTTGTATGGTTTTAAAGGTCATTTTTGGATGAATTTTGACGTTCGATTTGTACACGGTATACGAAAGCTATTTGACTAGCTATTTTTTGCTTTTACATTTCTCGAGCAATATCGATAATATCTGTGCATACTTTCGTTAACATTTCTGCATTGTGAACATCAATAAAGTCATTCCATGAAAATAAATGGGTTGACTCTTTTCTGTATGGTTTTTGTTTATATCGTTCGACATATGTTTTTAACAGTAGTTCATGTTCTTCTGTCAGAGGCTCCGATTTCTTTTTCATTTGTACTCTATTACATAGAATTCTTTCTCGTTTGTTTTTTGACAGCTTGTTAATTCTAAATATTCAAATAGATTCGTCCAGTAATCGATAATACTGTTTCTAACATAAAGTGGCGAGCCGAAAACAGGAGGTAGTTGATAAAAGTCACCAATAGCAACAATAGATATATTTCCAAAGTGAATATATGCACCTGTGGTACGCATAATTTGTTGGAGACGTGCGTGAAATTTTTTCCATAATGACTGATCAATTAACAATATTTCATCAATAATACAATCATAAGACTCTCGAGTTTAGAGCAGGGGATATTTATTTGATTTCCACTAATCGAGTGCATTTGTTCACCTATCATAAATGTTGCATGAATTGTATCAGAATTTGTGTTCAGAACTGGTGTGTTTGTCGGATCACAAATGAGAGAGTGTATTTCTTCTAGATTTTCGCCATTAGTATTACTAAATACTTTACTTGCCTTATGATACATACACTTGAACAACTGGTAAAATCCAGTCCCAGCTCTAGCGGTAGTGAATAAACGTATGGGTTCAACTCTGTCGCTGAATTTTTTCTCTAAACACTACTTTCGTACATAGTAAATAGTATTTAATTGTGCTTCTGTCAATTGTCTTAATAATTGTTTTACTGTTCTGACATATACTTCGTGAAAATAATCTCATAGGAATTTTTTGGCTTTTGCACTTGAGTATATTTTTTAATCGTTAAATTTCCAATATCTGGATTTTCATCCTGGTCTAGTTCAGCATGCTTTGTATAGCATTCTTTAGTTACTTATGTGTCTTCTTCTCTTTGTTGTTCAATTCACCCTATTTATCTTTATGTCCACCAGGTTCATTTAACTCATCGAATGCTTTTTCCAGATATTTACTCGTATTCGTTTCAAAACGTGTCCGGTTCTCCAATACTATCGCTTTAACCGATTTTGTTGCACCATCTTCTGACTGAATAACACCTTCATGAAAAAAAGTAGCATAAGGGTGTTGAAGTTTAGTATCGTTTCGAATAGGCAGATATCAGTGCATCAAATTTTCGTAATATTTCTTTGGTTCAACTTCAGCATTAAATCTTGGTGTTCATATAACAGCTGGTTTCTCTATCCTAGCTCTTATTCCAAAATCTAATGCTTTAAGAAACCATGTTTTCATTCGTGATTTAGGATTAACGGACTTTTTATTTATTATACGATATTTAGAAACGAAATCAGCTAGACATATATCAAAAACAGGATCATCAGGTATATCAAAATATTTATCAACAAAATTACTGCAAATAATATCAGCATTTTCATCTTTTCCTTCTTCAACTAACTTTTTCAGATAACTCATTGGTTTAGCTAAACGGAAACAGTCTCTATCTGTAGGAATAAATTCTACTTTTCTCCTACTCTCTTTTAAACGCCTACTAGATACTCTGTAAATAGCTTCTTGAACACAAACCTCACCATATTTTTCACATGCATAAGCGTTCATTACGTACTGAACGTCTAAATTAGCTTGCCAATTTCTCACACATTTTTCATTATAATTATCCACCCATCTTTCAGAAGATGCTCTTTTTAAAATGACCGTACCAGTGATAAATACAATTTCAAGTGCTTTTGCATAATGTTCATGTTCAATTTTCTTTTTCCACCCACTGAAAAAAATTTACAGATCTCAAAAAATCCTGTGAAAGTTGGATATATGCTGCAGGTTTTCACATCACGTTACCTTGGGGAAAATTTTCTTGCAAGTTGGTGAGTATAATCGTGCAGGATTCTTTAATATGCTCACTTTTTAAATTTCTTTCCTGCAGGATCCTGTAGGATTCTTTTCTACGCACACCATGTAGGAGCTTTTACATGCGTTCCTCGGATATATCTCGCAGGTCCTTCCGATGATATGATTCAAAAAGAAACTTATAGAATTTTGAAACCCTTAGGTTTTCTCTCTAAAGGGGGGATTTTCGTCCCATCCCCTCCCACGACGATCTCTGAAAGCTGCAGATGAAATGTAGGTCACAGTGTAAGCAAATCTCTACAACAACTAGATACTTGTTGAGAAATATATTTGTTGTTTATTTTCATCTGAAAATAGAAAAAAATACTGATTTATAACCAAATACTCAAATGTTTTTCATCATAGTCCACATGAAATTGCGATTCCTGTTTATTTCGTAAGGATGTGTAATCCATGAGCCATAATTTTGGATCGCGCTTAAAACGTTTCGAGATTGTTTTCTCAACATTTAGACACTTGATGCATATCAACTGTTTGGCTTCGGTAATTATGAATGGAAGTAAATTTCCTTTATGTGTTTCAACACCACACATATCAAAAAATAAATACTTAACATTCGGCAACATATCTAAGACTTCTTTCAGATCAAATTTATCAAAATTAGAATCATCGATATAACATGGAAATATTAAATATAATTCTAATGTTTGAATACATTCCAATAATCTTATTATATGTTTATCATTGTTAGAAGTCACGTCGTCGATAAATTCTTTAAAGTCATCAAAACCCATTACTAGTTCTCTTATGTTTGGTGAAATATTCAGTAATTCTTTTAACAGACTCTTATTGTAACACCCCGTGTAAGATATTTTTGTTAATTTCAGCAGTTTCATATTTCCGGTATATGCGTCTAATGTATTAAAATCACCATCACATAATCCCAGATATCTAACATTATAAAATTGTACAATTAACGACAAAAAGGATGAAATTGATGACGTCGTGCACTCGTCAATAATTAAATCATGAACTTTTGAATAACATTCGCTTGTCGAATTTGTTGTAAATAGAGGACAATTCTACAACAGAAAAAAAGAATAATAAGCCTCTAGCATTCAGACAAAGTATACATATATCTAAGATATATTTCTATTGATATTTGCTTCGCTATCTCAGTACAGAAAAGAGAACAAAAAAGAGTAGTATGAAGAACATTTTGTGTAATCAATCGCTCATAATTCACTTACTTTTCTACCAAATCTCCTTCTTTCTCATTGTTATCGTGGTTTTCTGCAAGTTCCGGGCTTTTACAAAACTTAAGTATGTTTTTTTCAGCCGCAACAACTACAGATATGCGGTTTTTACCAATAAACATTTAGTGCAACACGCTTTACAAAACCCATGCTATTTGGCTACTGGTGCCGAGGGTTGTTGTAATGGTGATATATTTCACATGGATTCACCCATATCTTGTCAGAAAATCGCTTTTGGACTTTAGAATTTCAGAAGACTTTTAAAAAGGGGTCTTGAAACACTTACACTCACTTACAGCGAAACCATGGCAGCACAAAACTGGTGGATAGTAGAAAATACATGCTTATTGAAAATTTTAGTTTTATCATGAACGGTACGCTAGCAGTTGCTCATAACCAAAGTAATCCATAAACTTTTCATCTATGATTTAAATATAGCGTCATCTAACTGCCAAAAAATTTACCTGTTTTTCACCTGTATTTTCGTCCCAATTTCTTTGTCTCCCCATATCAAGTTTTTTAAAAGCGTAGGGTATTGTAAACAAATGAAATCCATAATAATACCGGCGACAGCAAAAAAACCATTTTTTTTCTTTTACCCAATAGTTTATTGAATATGGTTCCAAAAGTCTGTTGAAATGAATAGAGTTTATGTTTTGTATACAATTTAAGTGAACACTTAAATTAAAGGTCGTTAAATGTTTTAATTTTGACGATAAAAAACTTTGCCAACGTTCACTATCAATAAATGAATCATCCTTTACGAAGAGATCAAGTGATAAAGACATAACCATAGGCAAATATGATAATAACTCTTCTAAATTATCCATCTCAAATAACAGTGGATAATCGGCAGATAACTTTAAACAAAAAGTCGTTAATAATGAATTTGAAAATAGGCTTTTATCACATTTTTCGTCGGCTGATTTACATACAGTACAAACCTTTAGATATTTAATATTTGGTAAAATATCAAGTAACACATGAATGTTGAAAAATGATTTTAATGATATTGTTAAATTCGTTAGTGTAACACAAGGACAAGACCATAAATAAAAATAGTTTATATCAAACCAGTGCAGATTAGTGTTTGTCGGATAGATAAAATTCATAGAAGAATAAGTTTGGGAAGAAAAATGTGGTTTTATCGATAACTTTTCAATGTGATGTTGTTTTGAAAATAAAAAGTTTGTCAAAAATTCCGTCTCATACAGATCATTCGATATAATATCGAGTTCAATTAATGATTTTAACTTTTTCATTTTCCCGATAAATAATTTTAATTCATCGGTACTACAATTAACAAGTTTCAATGATTTCAATTTTACAAATATTTGATATTTACTTCTAAAATAACCGTCAAATAATTTCAACTGGCTACCTGCATATTGATTATCTAGTCGTAACGATATAATTTGTGATGCTAATGATGGAAGAATATTACAACATAGATAGATAAAATCATTGTAAGAAGTTTTTGATAAATCCACGTTTTGTCGATATTCTGTTAAGGTACAGTTGTAACGAGTGTTTAAATTGTAAAATGATTTCAATACATCAGTTGATGACATATAACGGCAAATCGTCAGAAATATTTCATCCGGAAGAACTTGTATCTCTGTCGTCATAATGAGTAATCAGAAATTCTGTAATAAATGGAAACGAAATACATTGATACTATTTTCATATATATGTTGAAGGGGAAATTAGAATTTAGGGCAATTTAGAATTTCCCTAGGGAAAATTGAAATTATAATCTCCCTTAGCGAAAATTAGAATAGTACTTTTTCTCTAACATTTTTCAAGGAAAATGGCAGATTCAAATTTCCCCTACGGCAAACTAGAATTCTACGATAGCATCTTTTTTCTATTCTAGGAGAAAGAAGAAAAAGAATTCATGCATATAACGGATTTCATTCAACGTACACACGCACAAGACGGACACCTTCTATCAACTACTAGACGCACATATTCAGAGCCTCAACGAGAAATTTCGTGCAAAATATGTTATTAGAAAGGAAATGTATGAAGAGATTATTCTGGTATTGTGCGATGGCTGGAGAGCAGCAAAATTCAAGTTTTGGGTTCAAAAAAACTTTGTGTTGTCAAAATTGGAAACCCTAATGTTGTTTACAACAACGGTAAAGGCAGTCGTCCTGTCGTTACTTATGAAGAACTTTATACGAAACTGGATGAATGTCATGAACGTGTGGGACATCATGGGCGAGATAAAACTTGCAGCGAAGTATGTGAATGTGTGTTTTTCTTTTGTGAGAATTGTATACAGCTTTCTAGATGTAATAATATAATTGAAATATTATTGAAATGTAAAAGTGACAGGACGACTGCCTTTACCGTTGTTGTAAACAACATTATGTTATATCAATGATTATATGTATAAATTCTTTTTCTTCTTGTTCATAGGATAGAAAAAGATGCTATCGTACCATGTATTCCAGTTTCCCCTAAGAGGAAACCAGAATAATAGTAGATTTGTTTTACTCTAGGAGAATTTAGAATTTCCCTATAAGGCACATTAGAATTCTAGTTTACCCTAGGGGAAATTTGAATCTGTCATTTTCCTTGAAAAATGTTAGAGAAAAAGTATTATTCTAATTTTCGCTAGGGGAGATTATAATTCCAATTTCCTCTAGGGGAATTCTAAATTGCCCTAAATTCTAATTTCTCATTCAACATATATTTTCATTTTTTGCCTATTATACATACAAATAGTAACAAAGATTATGAGAGACGCATTTCTCTTTTCAACAACTTCACACCGAAAAAAAATCATTCACGATTAGTCAGATGTTTTTTTATTTCTTTTCTTTACCAAACCTGCTTATGCATTCATAAATTAATAAACTCACTCATCATCTTTATTAACGCATTTCATAAATGTCTGCACTATTAAATTTCATGATTAGACTTTTTTCCATTAACAAGGTAGTAAAGAAACCATATGACAAAGAGAAAATTCGATTTCTCGAGAAAGACAAGAATAAGTACAGTAAAAATATCGAAATCATGAATTTTATTATATTAGTGATAAGTCTGGAAGGAATCGACACAAATCAATTTGCACTTTTTCTTACTATCATAGACCCTATCAACGAAAAAATATCAGCAAGATTCACGTTGATTACTTGAGAATGTTCCCTCGCTTTTATTGTCCGTCTACATCGTAGACTTTTGTGAAAGAAATCGGAAAATGTTTTTGCAGTATACATCAGGTGGGCGATGGACACGGATCATCACGAGGATCCGTGATTCTTCACAGGGCGAACGCCGTAAGGAAGATTTTTTGAAAGCTTGACGGGTACGGGGCGATGACGAGGCAAGAACTTCACGGTCCAAAATCTGCGAAGGACATTTTTTCTTATGAGCGAAAGATGTTATGTTTATTTTGATCTATTTTTATAATGTGATGGTTCTTCCTGTGAACTAAGATGAAACAATGAATAGCTTAAGTTAGCATAGATGTTCGGACTCAGAAGGATCAATGAGGAAGTACCAGAGGAAACTTTTATCAAGAATTGACGGTGGATAAGGCGGCGACGAAGTAAAAAGCTTACGGGGTGATCCCCGCGACGTACAGTTACCGAAACTTGGCGGGATACGGGACGATGACAAGGAAGTAGGTTTGCGAGACGATCCCTATGAGGGAGCTAAAGATAGTCCCTTGCCCACCTCTGGTATACATCCTCTTTTGCTATTATTTATATACAACTACTTGAAAAATAAAAGAACTGATTACATAGAAGTAAAAATGAGCGTCTTAAAATGAGACGGGCTAGAATAATTCCCTCCCCATAACAAAAGATCATCTAGTCTTCTATGTTGTCCAGCAAGTCGAAATCTGAAGGCTGGACTTTTATCACCATAAATTTTCTGCCTTCTGTTTTCTCGTGCATACATGCTCCCGTATGTTATCCCTGCGAATGCGCACAGGTACTTTATTACTAGGATCTTATTCAAAGTAGGAATGTCCAGAAGCACAATTCATTTTCACTTCTATCGTTATTCTTCAACACTGAACATAGCTCTCGGAAAAATCGCCTCGTTTGGGAAAAACTCTTTTTCTCTAAAAGATTTGATCTGAGACGAACTTTTTTTTAGCAAGAGATAGCCAGAAGCACAATTCATTTAATTCTTTCGGTCCTATTTTTCAAAAGGTTTCTGTCAAAACTATTTTTCATGGAAAATGGAAGATTATGGCTTTCACGTCATGGAATCGACAATAGTCTTCTACTACGAGATAGTCTTATACTATAGAAGTGTGAGGGGAGCGAGTGAGGGGTTACATAAGATATCTTTTCTAGAGCACAGAGTTCTACAGTTTTCGCTATGTCAATGAACCACTGTTTTATAGCAAGAGTGCGTTTACAAGTAAATCTTTCGACTTCATCTATTTAGCAAGGAAACGACTTAGAAAGAAAATTTTGAGATCATTAAGGTGCACGGAAAGCAGAAATCGAGCCAAATTTATTTTTCGTTTTTTCTTACACTGTTGGATAGAAGAGTTCAAGGCGGTCAAGAATATATGTGCCCCGATTTTTGTTTATCGTTTTATCGGTTCAAAAAACTAAAAGAAGTGGAAGACCGAGAAAAACGAAAAAAAGACGATGTTCGAAAGAGTTAGATTTTTCGACTTGGGGTTTAGTCGGAATGTTCAAACTATTCTTTTGATATTCAGCGTTAAAAGTTGAATTAATAAATGATATTAAATTTCGAAGGTAAACGCTTGTCCACTATGGACGTTCGAATGAACCATTAGAAAAGAAGAGTGAGTCATTTTGTAAATCTATCTAACTTTTTGTGTCAAGGGGTGGAACCGTCGTAACAATGGCACTGTATCCGTCGTGAGCCCTGCTTCAAGAGTACAACTTTCTTGTTTTAAAATTTTGTTTCACTGCTGAGAAAATTCATTTTTTCTAAATCAGAGACGAAAAAGTCGAAACTCTGCTCGTAATTCTGAATTTTCTTGATCAGAAATCAACTTTTGAACAATAGTTAGAAGTTTCATATTCGAAATCAGGATAAAAAATTGTGTCGAAGAATTGCTTCTAAAGCTACTGAAATTCGATGGGTCATACTACTCGGATCAAGCGTCCTTCATCTACTGTCCGTGTGCGACTTCTGAAAACTGAATCCTCAATGCGGCTATAGAAATCTGTAACAGACAGCCCAAAACTATGAATAACTCCTTTGATCAGATTTTTAGGCAAAACTGACCATTGTGGCTATCACCAGATTTGCCTGACTTTAAAAAATTCCCTGTTCTTATAATACGCACTTTGTGTGAAAAATGGATAAGGATTCCTAAGCAAGAAATATAACTTTTACACTTGAGTCATTCACACGGATAAAAACAGAAAATTCAGTGCTGTCTTAATAATCTTTATGAACAATTCAGGATAGAAGAAGCACTTCGCCTTTATTATTTAAAACTATGTCCCACATTTCAAAAATAACGCCCATGAAAAGCTGAAAAACAACTTACACATGACAGGAACTAGTTGTAAACATAGTTATGTTATTTCATATGTGATGTGTTTACGTGTCGATAGGTTACGTTTATGAGAAAGAGACCATTATTAAAAAGTTTTAGCTTTTTTGTTGAAAAAAACATACTCAGTAAAAAGTTTTCCTCTTCAATAACGACATGAGTCATTGGTTGTAAAATGCCAAGTTACATTTGGTGGTACATTGGTACGTTGCAATTGAAGAAAGAAAAGAAAATGACGTAGAATAGAGCTGCGAAAAATAGCGATTTTCTTTTCTTTTCTTTTCTTATTCACGTTATATATAGTGTGTGCTCACGCTGCAATGTACATTAAACAAAATTTTTTTGTCGCTTTTAGTCTCCTCAGAATGAGTGAATCTTTGCCATGCGCTAAAAACTAAGTTTGTAAAAAAAACGAAATCTGGTATGTAATTTTGGTAAATGTAACTCATGGGCTTGACAAAATCAAAAAGCAAGGAAGGTCTCTTGTGGATAAACTTGTTTTGCCCTTGTTTTCTGCAACAGAACGCAATAAAAAATGCTCCCTCGGTTAGGCGGAAAATGTTTTTATCCACAACAAGAAGGTGTGTAAACCCTTCCACCTCGCTTAATACTTTTATTCCTTATATAAATTTTTTGTAGTACATTACTAAAACATACGGCATAAGATTGTAGAACAGACAATTCTTTACACAATAAGATGTTAAAATAGGATGCATGACATAACGATCGGGAAAAAACACAATTTTTCACACTGCAGGCTTTTGGTAAAATTAAACGTTCGACCAGTTTTTGCAATGCAAAAATAATCTAAGATCGTCTGGTTGGCAGAGAAAATTCTGCTTTATAAAAGAGAACCAAAGTTTAATCTTTCAATTTGAAGTGGTTATTGTCAAAATGAAAAATATCCAAAATTTTTATCGTTACAGCCTAAATTTTTGATGATAACAAAGGTTCGCTCACTGCCAGACGGCTAAAAGCGATAGAATATTTCTGAACGCATAATTAGAAAGCTCCGGAAGTATACATTCAAAATAACTTTTTTTGATATTCTCGGTACGTACTTTACCACAAAAAAAAACATTTGTTCAGTTACTTTTGCATCGTAGGGTCATGATTTGT